TCTATTATACTGGAACATTATTAAGTATACTACACACAAAAAAAAAGGACATAATTTTATTGTTGAATAATTTTCCAAATTAATTGAATCAGCTAATACCAGTAGATTGAAAATTTGAACCAGGAAAAAAATCATCAATTATGTCTTTCATGTTGAGCTTAAAAGTAATTAGATTTAATAACTAAGTTAACATAATCAAAACTAAACTATCGACAACATACCATCGTAAAAGGCCATCTATACATCTTGCATCGGAACTAAGCCCTTCTCCACTGCCTCATTTTAAGACTGTTTTGCCACTGGAATTAACAATTGGAAAATTAAGAAACAAAAATAAATATAAACAATAAATTAAATATCGCATACAAACAATAAGTCTTGAAGGTCGACTTCCAATAGCTTGTGGCTCCGCCCATTTTTGGTTAATTTTCTCAAATCATCCCTTTCAATAACATGTCCAATAACATATAAAATGAAATAATTGTTATACATAAAATTTGAAAACTTTGGTATAAATTAATGAAACACATAATTTAACAAAATGAAATTACCTATAAGCCATGATGGAAAAAGATGTAAACTAATTGTCACACAGTCAATAGGATGAAGAAGAAGATAAGAAACAAAATCTAAAGTCGGGTTACCAACAGAAGAAGCCTTAGGTAGGGAAGAAATGAAATTCAAATGTTGCAGACATTCTGTAAAACGATGTCCCAAAATCCGCTAGGGATGAAAATCAGATTTATTTACCCTTTTCTGTAAAAATCGAAAATCAGATTATTATAAATAATATCTAGGAGAATTTGATGAAAATCGATAATAATATTTAAAATAATATTTAGGAGATAAAATTTGATAAAAAAATCAAAAAATAATATTTAGGAGAAAAAAATCTGATAAAAATTGAAAATAAAATTTAAAATAATAGTTAGGAGATAAAAATTTGATAAAAAATCGAAAATAATATTTCAAATAATGTTAATGAGATAAAAGTTGATAAAATATGAAAATAATAATTAGAATAATATTTAGGAGATAAAATATGATTAAAATCAAAATTATTATTTAAAATAATATTTAGGAGATAAAAATTTGATAAAAAACGAAAATAATATTTAGGAGACAATAATCTGATAAAAAACGAAAATAATATTTAAGAGATAAAAAACTAATAAAAACATGATAAAATTCGAAAATAATATTTAGGAGATAAAAATCTGCTAAAAGTTGAAAATTATATTTAAAATTATAGTAAGGAGATATAAATTTGATAAAATTAAAAAATATTATTTATAATAATATTAATGAGATAAAAATTTGATAAAAATAAAAAAATAATATTTAGGAAACAAATATCTGATAAAAATAAAAAATAATATTTAAACTAATATTTAGGAGATACAAATATGATAAAATTCGAAAATAATATTTAAAATAATATTAAGGAGATAAAAACTTGATAAAAATTGAAAAAAAATTACAAATATGACATTAGGGTTTCTTAGGGTTGCCCTAGCGTTTCTTTCTTTTATATATAAGATATCTAGGAGATAAAAAAATGATGAAAATCGATAATAATATTTAAAATAATATTTAGAAGATAAAAATTTGATAAAAAATCAAAAAATAATATTTAGGAGATAAAAATCTGATAAAAATCGAAAATAAAATTTAAAATAATAGTTAGGAGATAAAAATTTGATAAAAATCGAAAATAATATTTCAAATAATGTTAATGAGATAAAAGTTGATAAAATACGAAAATAATGATTAGAATAATATTTAGGAGATACAATATGATTAAAGTCAAAATTATTATTTAAAATAATATTTAGGAGATAAAAATCTCTAGGAGAATTTGATGAAAATCGATAATAATATTTAAAATAGTATTTAAAATAATATTTAGGAGATAAAATTAGATAAAAAATCAAAAAATAATATTTAGGAGATAAAAATCTGATAAAAATTAAAAATAAAATTTAAAATAATAGTTAGGAGATAAAAATTTGATAAAAAATCGAAAATAATATTTTAAATAATGTTAATGAGATAAAAGTTGATAAAATATGAAAATAATAATTATAATAATATTTAGGAGATAAAATATGATAAAAATCAAAATTATTATTTAAAATAATATTTAGGAGATAAAAATATGATAAAAATCGAAAATAATATTTAGGAGACAATAATCTGATAAAAAACGAAAATAATATTTAAGAGATAAAAAACTAATAAAAACATGATGTAAGAATATAAACAAACGTTTGATGTATCGTATGATCAAAATTCTATTATACTGGAACATTATTAAGTATACTACACACAAAAAAAAAGGACATAACTTTACTGTTGAATAATTTTCCAAATTAATTGAATCAGCTAATACCAGTAGATTGAAAATTTGAACCAGGAAAAAAATCATCAATTATGTCTTTCATGTTGAGCTTAAAAGTAATTAGATTTAATAACTAAGTTAACATAATCAAAACTAAACTATCGACAACATACCATCGTAAAAGGCCATCTATACATCTTGCATCGGAACTAAGCCCTTCTCCACTGCCTCATTTTAAGACTGTTTTGCCACTGGAATTAACAATTGGAAAATTAAGAAACAAAAATAAATATAAACAATAAATTAAATATCGCATACAAACAATAAGTCTTGAAGGTCGACTTCCAATAGCTTGTGGCTCCGCCCATTTTTGGTTAATTTTCTCAAATCATCCCTTTCAATAACATGTCCAATAACATATAAAATGAAATAATTGTTATACATAAAATTTGAAAATTTTGGTATAAATTAATGAAACACATAATTTAACAAAATGAAATTACCTATAAGCCATGATGGAAAAAGATGTAAACTAATTGTCACACATTCAATAGGATGAAGAAGAAGATAAGAAACAAAATCTAAAGTCGGGTTACCAAAAGAAGAAGCCTTAGGTAGGGAAGAAATGAAATTCAAATGTTGCAGACATTCTGTAAAACGATGTCCCAAAATCCGCTAGGGATGAAAATCAGATTTATTTACCCTTTTCTGTAAAAATCGAAAATCAGATTATTATAAATAATATCTAGGAGAATTTGATGAAAATCGATAATAATATTTAAAATAATATTTAGGAGATAAAATTTGATAAAAAAATCAAAAAATAATATTTAGGAGAAAAAAATCTGATAAAAATTGAAAATAAAATTTAAAATAATAGTTAGGAGATAAAAATTTGATAAAAAATCGAAAATAATATTTCAAATAATGTTAATGAGATAAAAGTTGATAAAATATGAAAATAATAATTAGAATAATATTTAGGAGATAAAATATGATTAAAATCAAAATTATTATTTAAAATAATATTTAGGAGATAAAAATTTGATAAAAAACGAAAATAATATTTAGGAGACAATAATCTGATAAAAAACGAAAATAATATTTAAGAGATAAAAAACTAATAAAAACATGATAAAACTCGAAAAAATATTATTTAGGAGATATAAATTTGATAAAATTCGAAAATAATGTTTAGGAGATAAAAATCTGCTAAAAGTTGAAAATTATATTTAAAATTATAGTAAGGAGATATAAATTTGATAAAATTAAAAAATATTATTTATAATAATATTAATGAGATAAAAATTTGATAAAAATAAAAAATAATATTTAGGAAACAAATATCTGATAAAAATAAAAAATAATATTTAAAATAATATTTAGGAGATAAAAATATGATAAAAATCGAAAATAATATTTAGGAGACAATAATCTGATAAAAAACGAAAATAATATTTAAGAGATAAAAAACTAATAAAAACATGATAAAAATCGAAAAAAAATATTTAAAATATTATTTAGGAGATATAAATTTGGTAAAATTCGAAAATAATTTTAGGAGATATAAATCTGCTGAAAGTTGAAAATTATATTTAAAATTATAGTTAGGAGATATAAATTTGATAAAATTAAAAAATATTATTTATAATAATATTTAGGAGATAAAAATTTGATAAAAATAAAAAATAATATTTAGGAAACAAATATCTGATAAAAATAAAAAATAATATTTAAAATAATATTTAGGGGATACAAATATAATAAAATTCGAAAATAATATTTAAAATAATATTAAGGAGATAAAAATTTGATAAAAATTGAAAAAGAAATTACAAATATGACATTAGGGTTTCTTAGGGTTGCCCTAGCGTTTCTTTCTTTTATATATAAGATAAATATTAAAGGGATGGGCTTATTGGTGAAAGAGATATATCCCCTAAAACCTAGAATAATAAAGATGCTTGGTTGGGGAATTTGCAAAAAAACCCCTAATTAATATATTAACTTCTAGAACAAAGGTTTTCTATGTAAATAATTAAATATAATTAACTTTATACTATATGATATAGGTAACGGAGAAAATGCCTCATTTTATTACTTCGGTTTAGGCTCCGGAAATTAAAGTTAGAGGAAGTTTCATCACTCGCAATACAAATTAAGTAGAAAGCTCAAAAAAACTCTTTTATGTGTTTGTATATGGAAAAAATCTTTGATTAAGTGGAGAGACATAATTGAATGAAAAATTAGCACAATGAACAAGGGAACCGTCATTAATTCCAATATTAATTTTGCAGAAGTAAAAGCCGAATCCCTCAAGAGTGAGATATCCAAAATTTGTGAGGCGAAAGAGATCAAGAGTTTCTAATCCACTCGGGTTTAATTCCCGGATAGATCCGATTCAACCGAGTTATTCAGATGGTGCCAAGCCTTTGATCTCTTTTTGACAAGTGATAAAAACCAAAAGTATAAATAAATAATACAACAGAAAAAGATACAAGTAACAGGTAATAAACAAAAGAGTAGTTATATTAATATAATAAACATAAAACCAACGTAAAAAAACCTAAGAGGAGGAACTAATTATATAAGTAAGCAAATAAAAAAGGAAATGGAGTAAGCTAGTTAATATTGTTACTAGCGCTAATTAATTAATTACTTAATTAATATTGTTAGCAGCAGCTGGAGTGAACCAGATAGGTGGTGGTGTAATCTTTTCGAGAGACTTGACGTCACAAGGATAATAGCAAGGCGAGATCGTCGCGTCTCGATAATCGTAGATGCCAATATCATGGCCACCATATGGCTCTTTACTATCTGTATTGAAATATTGAAGTCCGAGTGAATCTGTAAAGTAAATGGAGTTCGGCTTCAGTTCCGGGTAGTCACCGGCCGCCGGCAAGGCAAAAGAATGGTTGCCACCGACAAATAGTGAAAGACCGTCCAATGAACCGTCCATGTACGTAACCGAATCAGCGTCCACGTCGTATTTGTGAACGTCAAAAGCAATAGTCATGTAGGGATATTTAATTCCGTTATCACGTGGTTCGTGGTCGTCGACATACGAACCGTCGGGCCTTACTTGTATCATTACATAACGATTCAAACCAAGGAGGACTTGTTCTTCTTCGCCGCCGCCGCCAGAGTTATTCGGTGTGGGGGCCATGACTAGATGTTGTAGCGGCTCGCACATCATTTTGAGGTGCAGCTCTTTGTCCGATTTACACACGTAACTCCTCTCGTACACACGATTGTTTCCTTCCTTGTTAAGGAGAGTCATTTTTGGCGCGAGAGGGTCACGGAGATCCCAAGCCTCGAAATCGCCGGATTTAGTGACGCCGAAGAACAAATGTTTCGTGGTGGAGTAAACAACGTCCTCGTATTCCCTTGCGATATTACGTCCCTCTTCGTCTTTGTATGTAGTAGCGCCGATTGGGGTCCAACCGGAGGTGTTGTGACCGGGCACGCAGAAAGCCAGTCTATTCGACGGGCCGAAAATCATCACCGCGCGGCAGTTTAGATCCTCCGGAGAGCAATTGATGATGACCTTGGTGACGCAACCCAAACATCGTCTCAAGTCTGATTTGGGAATGGGCAGGCTGTGGATTGGAGGAAGCTTTATGTGACGATTAGAAACGGGGTTCGAGAGAAGCAAATCGCAGTTTCGTTTGTTAAGCAAAACTAGCCAGCCATGGGAGGATCCCAAGGCCACTGAATAATCATCATAATCGGATTTTTCTACTTTGCTCAAACTTACAACTTTATTCTGCGCAAGGCTATAGAAGTTATAACTTTCCGTGGATGGTGGTAGCATCAGCCATGGTGGTGATATTTTTGGAGATATGAGTTGGTCGGCCTTAGTGCTGAACCGGTTCAGAAATCCAATTGATGCCACTCTCCCAGAAATACCATGATTTAGTGATTTGGATGTTACTTTTCTGGATATCAATCGGAGCAAGGAAGTCATCTTTTACCGCTCGGCCGATCTTCTTCCTCGTCTGTCCTACTTAGGTTATTAAGTGTTTAGTATTTAATCAGGAGCCGGCAGTATTTAATGCACAATTCGTGCCCTATATTTTTCAGGGCCCAACAACTCTTTTTTTTTTTTTCTTTTTTTTTGTTTTTCTTTGGAGTCACAAACAATTCATTTGGCACATTTTTTTACTCAGCAAATCTTCATGTTGTGCGGTAGGAATGAAATGCAAACCAGCCCCAAATTTGACTAATTTAATGAATGCACTTTACAAATAAGCCCATCAATAAGTACTTATTTCTAAAAAGGTCTAGACAATAAATATGTTTATAAAAAAATTTACACATGGTCCAAAGGTTTGTAAAAGACTAAAATAACCCCTCATATTTTAATATACTTCAATTTCATCATTTAATTTAACTAACCTCAATTTGATCCCAAATTTCACTAATTATTCAATTTTGACCCAAAACACATTTTTATGGACAATTTCGTCCGTCACCGCCGTTGACCGTCGGTCTCCGGCGTTGACTTTTTTTATTTTTTTATTTTTTATATTTTTTCCTCTTCCTGATTTTTCCGCCGGTCTCCAGCGTTCACTTTTCCGATTTTTATTTTTTTGAATTTTTTTTCTTTGATATTTTTTTGCCCCATTTAAACAACAATATTGTTGTTGTTGATAGTAATGTTATCTATAATACTGTTAAACACAGTAAAATTAACTATACTACAGGATAACACATTAATATTGCTATATTAATCTCTAGCACACTAATATTAACACAACAAAAGTCATTATTCTTGTGTAATAGAGTAATATTAATACGTTGATCGTTCAACAAATGTAAACATAATAAAAAAACCAAAAAAATTAATATTACTTAGTGTGACAGTAATATTACTATAACAACAGTAATATTACCGTCAACCATAGTAATATTATTGTGTTTACAGTAATATTACAATAATAGACAACAATATTATTACGTTACTCCGTGAATAACTCAAATAAAACCAAAAAAACCCCAAAAAAATAATAATATTGATGTAGTTGACAGTAATGGTATTGTGTTTACAGTTATTTTACTGTCAACGACAGTAATATAATTATGTCGACTTGTCAACAAATCAAACAAAATTGAAAAAAATAATATTGTTGTTGACTCTAATTGTACTGTCAACGGCAGTACAATTACATAAATATATTGTCAACAGCAGTACATTTACGTTAATGTACTGTCAGTGACAGTATAATTACGTTAATTTACTGTGAGTGACAGTATAATTACCGTTAATGACACCACAATTACGGTCAACGTTTAGCTGCGAACGTTAAAAAAAAAACCACTAAAAAAAATCAACGCCGTAATCCGCGATGGAAAAACAGACCAAAAAAAATATCAAAAAGTCAACGCCACGCCGAAAACCGGCGGCAAAAAATATTTTTTGAAAAAAAAAAATCAAAATTGGATTTTGTAGTCAAAATTGATAAAATTGGGGTTACAATTAATAATTGGGTGTAAAGGGTTGGGGGTAATTTTTTCATATACATGAATTTTTCCATTATTTATAATAAATATTAAAGGGATGAGCTTATTGACGAAAGAGATATAACCCCTAAACCTAGAATAATAATGATGGTTGCTTATAGACTTATGCAGAAAAACCCCTTAATGATATTACGAAAGAGTTAATTGCATACAACCCTGTGAAATGTCTAATTGCTGGAAAAGGCCATGTATTAAAACAATTAGCATATACACCCTATGATAGACTTTATTTAGCCCACCAAACCCCATCCAAAAAGAGCTCATTAACTGCACTGAATGGACTAAAGTACCCCTAAAAAGAAATAAAGTAAAAATACGTACAAAAGCCAATTTGCATTATGTAATAAAAGAAAAAAAAACTAATTTTACAAAATTATATATATATCTCTTCATTTTGTATATAAAAAATAACTCTACTTAAATTATTCCAATTTGTATATTTGTAATATTTATATTTACTTTATATTTTTGAATAAATTTTAATTTTTTGTTTATTGGATTTTTAGGAACTTATAAATAAATTTAAAAATAAAACAATCCAAAATGCAATATAAATAAATTTTAAACTCCAATACTAATTCGAGCTTTTAGTAAGCGGTACCCCTGTGTTATGTCTAATTGTCGAAAAAAGCCTCTATGTAAAAAAAATTTGCATTTACCCTCTATATTACTAAGTCAAAGGCACCAGCCCCCTATCACCAAATCGTGTGATGCACGCGCCGTTTGTGCGGTTTGTTGTTGTTATTTTGACATGAAAAGTCAGAAATACCCCTTTAATTAAAAAAAAAAAAGGAAAAAAAGAGCTTTTAAACTATGAAAAGTAACATAGTAACACACCCTCGTGTCTTCATCCTCATCATCTTCGACCCTCTCTTTGCTCTCTCTTCCAGGCAACAACTCGCCGCCGGCACGTCGCTCCTCTCATCCCTCCCTTTTTCTTAGGCGGTGGCCCTCTTTTCTCTCCCAGGTTTCTTAATTTTCTCCAATATCTCTACCGCCTGCGCAACTCCACCGATCCCCGTCTACACCGCATCCTCGCCGTCGTCCACGGCTCCCTTATTCCTTCTCCGTCCTCCGCCGCATACAACCGAGTGACCCTCCGCCGCCTCTTCGTCGTCCCGCTTGACAAGCTCTTTCTCTCCCCCGCCCTCACCAACGACGTCGCCGAAATTAGGCCAAATTTTTTCGAAAAAGAAACAAGCAAGAACAACAAATTTCTTCCTACCTTTTCTTTCCTTTCTATTTTTCTGGTTTTGTGGCTGAAAACCGGACTAACGGGATTTTACAGAAGAAGAGCAATCCCAAATCTGAAACGAATATGTATATTAATTCTAATCTGAGACTTTTCCAAATTAGAATTCCAAAAATTCCAGATTAGAAGTAATATTATCCATGTGATACTCAGATTATAATTTTTGGAATTTTGAGTTTGAAAGGTTGGGCAATTCCAGATCTGAGACTTTGCATTTTTTTTAATAATTTTTGTTTTTTTTTAATAATTTTTATTTTGATTGTTTTGAAACGAAAATGGAAATAATCATAACATAAAAGAATTAGGTGGTGTTTGCAAATGTTTTTTGAAAGTGATTATGCAGTTTTTTTTGCTCATAATCTGTTTTTAGGTGTTTGCAAAATCAATTTTTGCTTTTGCTTCTCTTAAAATAATCTGCTTTAAGCTATTTTTTTAAAAGCACCCCTAACCCTGCTTTTTCAATTTTAGTTCATTTTCCGAAATATTTGCAAACACCCCCAACTTTTAGAAATAAGCACTTAAAACTAACTTAAATCACAATCACTAACTTCTGCTTTTAAATAATCATTTGCAAACACCACCTTAGTATTGGAGTTTAAGATTATATTGCATTTTGAATTTTTTTTATTTTTAAATTTATTTATAAGTTCCTAAAAATCCAACAAACTAAAAATTAGAATTTATTGAAAAATATAATAAATATAAGTATTTACAAATATAAAAATTTATACACAAATTGGAATAATCTAAGTAGAGTTATTTTTTAAATGCAAAATGAGGAAATATATAATTGGGTCCATTTGATATACACCCCTAGAATGGAAAATATATAGGGATAGGTCCACCCCTAAAATTCTTCCTTTGAGATACCCCTGGAGATGCAAAAGTACTGTTGTGCCCTTAAGTGCAATTTTCGCCCAACTGCATTCAGTATTTCTGCCCCTACATTCAGCATAATGCTGAACTGCATTTAGCATTTTGGGCATTCATTTATCATTTTTATAGATTATTTTAATAAAAAATATAAATTCTTATTTTATTATAATTTTTTATATATATCGTATTTTGTATTTTTTTAAATTTTTAATTTTTTTAATTTTTTATTTTTTTTAATTTTTTTAATTTTTTTAATTTTTTTAAATTTTTTTTTAATTTTTAATATTTTAATTTTTTTAATTTTTTTTTGATAAATTTACTGTACTGAATTGACTATATATGACTACAGTATACCACAGTCATGTAATATGTAATCATATACTGTCTTTTTACCTCAAAATTAATCTAAACCAACAACAAAATTCAAAATCTAATCTTCATATTATAAATCAACTAACCCAAAAAAAATGAAAAAACATAATCACATGCATATAATCTTCAAAACATGAACACGCATTACTATACATTAAAAAACACATAACATACATATAAATATATGTTACTACACGTGACTATAGTTATATACAATTATTTATAGTTATATAAGTGGCATAAGTCTGGAGTACTGTAGCATGAATCCAACTTCACAAAGGCACTTCATCGAATTTTATTCTCTGCATGTCATAAAACTACAATAAAAGCAAAACCTGCGACAAAAAAATACGAGTTAATAGCAAAATGGAACATGCGAGTTAGATTACATGAAAAATACAAAAAAAACATGATTTTTTTGTTGATAAATTTACTGAACTAAAATCGACTACAAATGACTATATTATACTACAAGTCCTGTGTACAGTCATGTATAGTTACATGTAGTCATGACTATACATGACTACATGTGACTGACTATATATGACTGTATATGACTAAATATAACTGTATATTCATCTGACTCAAATCACCCATGTAAGTAACCACTACTGGTTAAATTTCTATTACAGACAAACAAATATCTCACACATTAGGCATTTCAAATCATCTTCAAATAAATACAAAAAAAAAAATACATATGATTTATAATAAAAAATCAAATTACATGCAAAATACAAAAAAAAAAACATGATTGTTTTTGTTGATAAATTTACTGAACTAAAATCAACTACAAATGACTATATTATACTACAAGTCCTATATATAGTCATGTATAGTTACATGTAGTCATGACTATACATGACTACATGTGACTGACTATATATGACTGTATATGACTAAATATAACTGAATATTCACCTGACTCAAATCACCCATGTAAG